GAAACCATCTGGTATTTTTTTTTTCTTTCTGGCTTATTTCACTAAGCATGATCCCTTCCAGCTCCATCCATGTTGCTGCAAAAGGCATGAGTTTAACATTTTTGAACATCCAAACAAATTTTAATGATACTTTCCCTCATGCATGTCCAAGCAATGTTGATATGGTGTGCGAGTTTATTTCCCTAGTGGGAAAAATTTTCTGCTTTTAGGATTTTGAAAAAAGCACAGTTTGCTGACTATCATGCATATGGCTGTAGATTTAGAATTAGTGTGCCTGAACAGTGCCTATTGGTATGTTATCTATTGCTTTTAATACTTATTTTTTTTTTTCCCCACAGGTGCTTGTGTCTATCAGGGCTCCGTGTTGGCGGTAGGTCATTCTTAATATATTTGACTTCTTTCTTTTCAATGCAAAATGCTTGATTGAGGTTAGAGTGAGTGAGGTGACCCTATCATTGTAAAATGTGTTTATTTTCTTCACAGTTGAGGATTATCCCTCATCTCCTGGCACAATCATGCTCAATTACTTAATACCTTTTCTAGAGTGAATGAATTAGTTCCATTTGGATACTCAGGTACTGGAAAAGAAGTTTAAACACCCAACATATAATTTGCATTCTGTGGCTGTCCTTTGTGTTTTTTCAATCAGAGAGAAAATTAGATCCCATTTTCTTGTCAGATATGAACTAGGGCACAATTTGTTTATCATCCTGTTGCATTTGCCTCTTCCTTTGAAACTCTCTCAAAAAGAGTACAATTATTAAATTGAGTACAATCTGGAGGATTCCTGTCTACTGCTTTGCATTATACATTTGAGTTTGGTAAACAACAAACAAATTAACATTTTATCTCTGAAACTTTGCCATATAGGATAGATCTGACTTGGAATATAATGTCAGGATGAAGTGGGGGAAAATTGATGCAAGTTATTCGCATTTTTTCCCCCCATTAATAATGTACTATGGTGCATAACTGTGTGTTAAAGTCTTATTGGAAAGACTGTGCACACTCCATCAACTCTAATAAATGGTGTGACTAGTCATTCTTCACCACATTTTTATTTTGGTTTAATAAATGCTGTAATAAAGACAGAACTGAGGTGGCTGGAAACAGTTTTGCTCATTTACATGGCAACCAGCTATTGACATGTGTGATATTAATAAGTCATCTTGGATTATCTTTGTGGTGTTGAAATAGATGAGAAATATCTGAAATATCCATGAGTCTAGATAATTGTAGCTATTCACAGTAATGTTTTTGAATCTGAACTTTATGCAATATAGTTACTGTTCTGGAGATTTATGGTTTTTTTCCCCTTGTATATTTTTATTAAAGAGTCAGGAGAAAACCATTTTATCTCTATTTCTCATTCAGTGTCCTTAAATATGCACTTTTCCTTCTGTTTATTCTTCAGTACATTTTTTGAATCATTTTAAAATCAAAGTGCTATAACATATATCATCAGTTTTGGGGAAAGTAGTAGATAACATAGACAAGTAAGTTATCCATGTTAATACAAAGATGGTTGCTTATTCTATAGAATGATTCATAACTTTTCAATATATTTCCATAGCAATTTATTGATTGGATACTTGCAATAGCATAATGAAATGAAGAGATCATATATTCATACCTTCCCCCTCTTAATAAAGAGCCAGGTATGAGAAAGAGTGAGAAATTGAAATATTTGTTAAAAGACAATTGGCCACTTGTGGTGTATCAAACAAAACAAGCTGCTTTCTATCTGTTGTGCTGCCTGGATCTGTAGAAAAGTGGCTAGATATTTGGCAACAACGCTCTTTATGATTGTACTTTGGAATATGAAAGCATCAGGTACTTGGAGATATCAGTTTGATCAACTGAAAGGAGAGAATGTCTAATCAATTTCCCTTTAGCAGATGATCTTGTTCCCCTTGGTCCTATGTCCTGGCTAATCCCAGCCCCATGAGCTCTCCAGGCTGGCAGGTCAACCTCACTGGTTGACTTCTTGCTCTTGTACAAGTGTCTGCTAGATTGGCATCTATACCTCAAGCCTGATGTACTCATTATTGTAGCTGTGCAGTTCAAGCAGAAAAATCTATTATTACAGCAATAAAGATTATTATTAAACAAATATTTATTGAGTGACAGCTTTGCACCTTCTGTTTTAGGCGCTGGGAATGCATTAGTGAACAAACAAAATCCTTGCTCACTTGGAGCTCATATTCTAATGAGTAAAATATGTAGAATGTCAGATAAAATTGCTATGGAGAAAAACTAGATGGGGATGGGAAGACAAATGCTTGATAGGGGATGATGGTGGATACTTTAATTTGGGTGATAGGAAAGGCCTCATTGTGAAGGTGACATTTGAACAATGACCTGAAGGAGGTGATTAGCAGAGAGAACCCTCTGGCTAGCCAGGAGGAGAGAATTTCAGAGTGGGGAATAGCAAGCATGCAGTATGAGTGGGAGTTTGCTTGGCCATTTGAAGTATGGTCAGAGAGACTAGAGTGTGTAATGAGCTGGTGGGAGGATGGTTGGAGACAAGGTTGCAGAGGTGGGTGGGGGCAGAGCATGGAGGCTTTCGCTTGTCCTTACAGTAAGGTGGGCGAGCCACTGGAAAAGATAGAGCCGAGGAGTGACAAAACCTGACTTATGGCTTAATTAAATTGCTGAAACATGAATGTGAGAAGAAATAGAAATCTTGTTTCTAGGGAAACTATGTTGAATACTTTAAAAAAGACTCCATAGAGGTGAGTAAAATTTGCTGTCAAATTAAGCGTGAGGGAAACAGCTATCACAAATTGGGAAAACCACTAAAATTTAAAGAGATTCTGCATTCAAGTTAATTTGCAAGTATTTTAAATTCTCTTTCATTTTAAGGAACTTCAAACTGGTAATGGTAGATGATGCATTGTGAGCACAGTTAATTGTCTATGTAAGTCACTGCTGCTTCCTCAACAGGGCCTGGTCTTGAAGAAGGATATTGTACCTAGAGCACAGAAAATGAATGCATGGACATTTCTGTATTTTAAATGAAAATAGAGACTTTATGAACATTTATACACGTTTTCAGGATTTTCCAGTTAAACAACTCTGTGTTAGGAGACTATAGTGAGGAGCAGTTGTGGTATGAGTTCCTACCCACAAGCACTTTACATCTGAAAGTGATGTCAGAGATCATGTCATTGCATACTCTCCATTTCTTTCTTTTCTTTTTTTTTTTTACATACTCTCTATTTCATAGGTGAGGAAAGTGCCTCAGGGGTGTCAGGTTCTTGGGGTTCATTCACTTTTTTAGTTAAAGAAGGAGAACAGAAGAGTGGATCTGTTTGAAAATGGCAAAACATAAACTATATCCAGAAGAACTTCATAAAATATATCAGAAAAATGAGAACATGGATCCAGGCATGGGCTGTGAGTTGCTTTCAACTTGTTTTGTGAAGCTTCCTCGTACTGATATTTTTCCAATCTCATTCACATTTTTTTTTAAAAAGATTTATTTATTTATTCATACAGAACTGGAGTACAGGCCAGAGATGCGGAGGGTGAGAGGATTCATCGGAAACAGAGTGGGGAGCAGACAGGCAGATGGACAAAGTACACTGCTGAGGGGGGCAGCAGGCGGGTCAGGAGAGGTCTGCCACGCCATGTGGATCTCCTCCGGGGCAGGCGGGAATCGAATCATGTGGAAGTGGCTTAAGCTTCTTAGTGCAGTGCTTTAACCCGCTGCGCCACCAGGGAGGGCCCTCATTCACATTTTTTAAAAAAGATTTATTTATTCATGCATACAAAACTGGGGTACTGGCCAGAGGTTCGGGGGGGGGGGGGAGGAAGGATTCACCAGAGACAGGTGGGAAGCAGAACAGGCAGATTGACTGAAATACACTGCTGAGGGGAGCAGCGAGCGAGAAAGGAGAGGTCAGCTGCACAGTGTGGATCACCTCCCTGGACGGGAATTGAAATCGTGTTTCGGTGGCTGTGAAAACCTCATAGAGCTACCCTTTAACCCATTGCGCCACCAGGGAGGGCCTCAATCTCATTCATTTGTCACCTGGGCAGATGCACCTATCGTGGACTCTCCAGGGCTGTGGTCGTCTGTGGACCACCTTTTGTGACTTCCCTTCCCCCTACACACCACCTCTGACCTTCCTAAATCTCTATAATATCTATGAAATGAGGAAGAGTAAAGCCTCTCCCAAAGGGTTTTCATGGGATAAAGAAGATAATGTGAGGAAGATGCTCAGATGCAATGCTTGGCTTGTACTTTTCAGCCATAACAAAAATGGTTTGTTCCTTTTTTGCTAATTAAGAGAAGAAAGAGGAGGGGATAGTTCTTAGGCACCTAGTACGTATTTATTACTTTCATTACAAACCCAGGATATTGATGTTCTCTTTACAGATGTGGAAACCGATATTCTGGTTTCTCTTCGGACTGTGTAAGTCTTTTGTCTTCTCTAGGTATAAAATTGTAAGCTAGAAAGTATAAGTCACTTGTCCAAATATACACACCAGTCAGTGCTGGAGAAAGGATTAGAACCCAGTTCTGAGGCTTTAGCCATTTCGCCATGTGGGCTGCTTCTTACAGCCAAGTCGGTCTGTTGCAGTCTCTGGACACCCCAGCTCACTTCACCTTCAGTCCGGGTGCCCACCCCCCCTTCCCCCCCCGCTGCACCTGCTGTGCAGTTGTCTCTGCCACTCTCTGTCCCTGACCTGCTGCAAAGCCAGCTGTCCCTGGCTAACCCCTTCCCAGTTCCCTGAAGCGCTCTGCACTAATGTGCACTAAATTCACCAATTGATACAGGAACCTTCAGGGGGTCATTCCAGTTTAAAAACATAAATTATACCCATACATCCCAAACAGTGTAGTGTCTCCCAGCTTTAAAACCTTTGTTGAGCTGTGGTGACATTCTGGCCTGAGCTGGCTTAAGCCACATGTAGCCATCTCTGTTAGGTTCTGACTTCAGCTGTCTCTTTTCCTTAACACTCTCTTCCCTAGTTTTCTCTTGCAATCTTCAGGTCAGGAATTAAAAGAAGGAACTGGCAACTTCTACACCTTGAGAAACACTGAATAATTTATTTGAGGGTGTGCTTCTTACTCATCCCTGGGCTTCCCCAACTTTCTCTACACTCAGCCCTTATAAAACGGAGCATGTGACCATGTTAAATCAGGAATCCATCAGAGGGAAACTACTTACTGAATATATTTAACTGTGACAAGGGCTCTCAGAGTAGTGAGAGTGAGAAAGGAAATACTTTAAAATTTTCTCCATTCTTTTCCAGCTATATTGAGTAAAAGGTAATTTCCACTTTCCTTTGGCATTGCCACAAGGAAACGATTCTCCTTCATTAGGTTCTTACTGGGATGGGTGATTGGATTCTACCTCA